CTCTCTCTCTCTCCCTCTTTTCTCTTTTTCTCTCTCTCTCTCTCTCTCTCTCTCTCTCTCTCTCTCTCTCTCTCTCTCTCTCTCCTGCTTTCTCTCTGTAAACATATCCTCCAGCAGGGATTAAAAACTAAATAAATAAAAACAAAACAAAGCAAAAACACCCCTCTCCTTTGGTTTTAATGTGGTTTATTTTCAGTATCAGTTAGTAAGCTGTCAGGTGCTATGAGCAGAAGATAAACCCGTCCTAGTTCTTTTTCCCTTGAGAGCTGAACGCGTTTGTGTCTGTTTAAAAACTAGATGAGATATCCAACTTTTCAAATAGAAGGTTTTCACTGACAACCTTCCTGATGAGGGGACACAAGATGCTTGGATTTATTTGTGCAAAAAGCACCGCACAGACGGGCTCAGCAAGGGAAATGGGCCATGATGCCTGGACTTGGAGACCCTCTCATGTTTCACATTTCAGCAGTGTTTCCCAGCTCCTTCAACCTGCCAGAACCCGCCGTAACCATATGTGCAAATCAGTATTGTCTGCGCATCCCCTCAGCATTCTAGTACAAGGCTGTTTTAATGGTAAGAATAGAAAACTGGCAAAGTACAGTAATGTAAGGCTTTCTGTGTGATACAAATTAAAACGAAGAGCGTGACATTGATTTCTAATTCATATTTGATGTATATTAAATAACATCAAATAACAGTTAAACCGCTTACACTGGAATTATCTTTAAAAAGTTATATTTGATCACATAGATAACATGTTCTGGTAGATGATAGACAAAGAGTTGATTTATGGGTATTTTCTTAATGACTGGTAGTCATAAAGCATTGGCACAGGTAAGGCCAAAAAGATGGATTTTGTTTGGGGAAACCAATGAGTGGCCCCAGAAATGAATGGAACAACTACCCTAAAATGGAGTCTAATTTAAAATACATATACTTACAGGTTTATGTTTTCCTCACAGGCAATTTATCCTCCTCGGAACCACCTCTCCACCGAGGAGGCCGTCATCATCCTAAAAGCAAGACATAAACGTCGTCTCTGGTCAACTTGCGGTGCTTCTCCCCATCCCACCTTTTTGTGAGGAGGCATTGAGGTCAGTGCGGATTAGCAAGCGTTTCCCTGCCCGAGTGAGGACGATGTCAATGTTGATTTTCCTAGGAGAGCCGCCGCATCCTTGTTTACTCAAAGAACAAACAGTCCATCCCAATTCTAGTCACGGTCAGCCTCAGCTCCTGCTCCTGTCTGAAGTGTGCAGAGATATAGTGGGCACTCGTGGGATGTCTGTATTTGTGATGTTTATACATGGACGATGCTGAAGAACACAGGGTTTGGGTCAGGCTGCCGGGATCCAATCCTGGCTCTGTGACTTAATCCCATCGTGACCGTAAGCTTTTTTCTTGACTGTCCATAAAATGACGATGAACTGTGAACCTGTTTTATGAGGTTATTATAAGGTCGAATCACATAAAATAAGGGAAGTGATTTTGAAGAAGGCCTAGCACCCTAAGTATTCCAGCTATGCTCATTACGATTGTGCTTAATGCACGGTACAAGGATTACTGTGCACCGTGTGCTTTTTAGGGAGAATGGAAGAGAGAGGGGAAAGACAGAGAGAACTATCCATGTGTGAGAAACACATCGATTGGTTGCCTCCTGCACGAGCCCTGACCAGGGTCCAGGCTGGGGAGGAGCCTGCAACCAAGGTGCGTGCCCTTGACCGGAATCGAACCCTGTAGGCCAGTGGCAGGGGAGCTCTAAATCGGGTAGGAGACACTTGGTGGGTCATGTTCTGGGCTCTGAGGCAACAGATCCTTGCTAGGAACACTCAGCACGGATTATTCAAGGTTGGGTCTCAAAGGCAGAGAAAACTGTTTTTGTCTTTTCTGAACCTTCACCTTGCAACTGTGCCCAATGGCTATGCGTAGTGCCTGCTTGGGCTCTGCTGACTGAGCATGGTTGTCTGAATCCCTCCTCAGAGAACATGGCCTTGGGCGTACACCTTATGAAGCTGGGCACCCTGTGGCAGGGAAACGGCTGCACTTACTGTGTCTGCCCAGGGCTGCTGCTGGAACTGAGGTCCGATGGTAAGAAAACATCGATGCTGGGACGGCCTCGGAGGCCTGGCTTCCGTTGGGCCCTGAGGAAGGTCGGAAGGTCATGGGATGACCATCCTCACCAGTGCTGGCACCTCTTCTGGCTCCAGGATGCCAGTCCTGATGCTGTCACTCAGGTTGGTGTGTCTGTCATGAGCTCTTGGATCTCCGTCTTCAACAGCACCTGGACCTCCTGGCAATGGACCCCCACACCAAGGTGAGCCAGCAGACATCGCTGAGGCGGGGAGAGAGCTCTTTACCGCTGGGTGGGGAGAGAATCCTCGTGTCTACCTGGACTTTCTCTGGACAAGGGCAAATGAAGAAGTGAATTAGAGCATCGTTTCCATGGGAGACTGAGAAGCTAGTTCTAGAGTGGGGAGAGGAACATGAGAGGACATTTAGTTCTTTATCCAGATCCCAAAACAGGGATGTGTTTAAAGGTATGCTTTTAATACTTTCAAATGCCTCTGATTATCTCTCGTTTTGTCTTTTCCTCACACTTCCATCAGTGGTTCCCAACCTTTTTTTGGCCACGCTCCACCTAAGCATCTCTAAAATCCTGATGCCCATCCTATGTAATCACTTTCCCAGCTCACTCTGTTCTGTAGCCCTACCATTTCCTTGTACTACAGCTAGTAAATAAGGCCTTTGAAGGCAGAAATTATTTAAAGTTTGCAGCACGCCCATACCCTGTCCCCCTGCAGTGCCAAGCACAGTTCCTTACAGAGAATACGCAATCAAAACAGAAAATATTTGTCATACCTAAAGATGTATATTTTGGTCTCTCTAAACCCTGACTTGTAGTTAACAAAATATCTGGGATATTTTTTCTATAGAGATGAGGGGATAGAATCGAACCTGCAACCTTTGGTATATGAAATGATACTCCAACCAACTGAGCCACACTGGCTGGGTCCAGGGAACTATTTTTTAAAAGCTAATTAGGTAGAGAGATTTTTTAACAAATTATTACTCCAAAATCTAGTTAAGTGTTTAAATATTTTTAAATACATTTTTAAAAATAGTTGTAAAGGCTTAGACAGACAGAATAAAAACCCACTTCAATGGAGCTTGAGATGGTACAGAAAGGAGTAAATTTTATTTATCAATCAAAGACCTTTAAAAAGAGGAGCAGCTTCATAAAAGAAAACAAAAACGTAGATAGAAAAGATATACTCCAAGTACTTCCTAGAAAGGGTTCTATAAACTGTGAACACTATTCTTAGACGCTTCTTAAAAAGAACACAAATATTCCAAGTTCCAGGTCGCCTCAGGCCTTGATATTCAGGTGTTCCAGACGTCTGGACACCCTAAGTCACAGCTCAGGGCCAAGTTCCCCTGAGGCGCGTTTATCCTGATTGACTCGGCGGTGTGCTACGGAGGAAGCTTCCTAGAAAGAGTTCTATAAACTGTGAACACTATTCCTAGACGCTTCTTAAAAACACAAATATTCCGAGTTCCAGGCCGCCTCAGGCCTTGATATTCAGGTGTTCCAGACGTCCGGACACCCTAAGTCACAGCTCAGGGCCAAGTTCCCCTGAGGCGCGTTTATCCTGATTGACTCGGCGGTGTGCTACGGAGGAAGTACGCCCGCAGAAACCTGTGTCTCCAGCTGAGGTGCAGGGGACAGAAAAGACAGGCCACTTTTCTCCATTTCCCCTTCCCCACACCTTTGCTTCATCAATAGAAACACCCTGCACGGAGCACCCAGCTTCCTGGAGGAGGATCCGGTGAACCAGCACACGCAGGCAGATCGAGACCATGTGGCTGCAGAGAGAACTACGGTCGCTGATGCGTCATCATCAGGCACTTGTGCTTCAGGAAACACGGCAGTGGCCTCGCGACACCCCACCAAGGCCGCTCCGCCAGGCCTCCGACGAGGCTGTGTCAGCCCCACGGCACTCACTGCTGCCCACACCGAGCGCCGACACCGAGGAAGGTCCTCCTGGGAGGGCTCGGTCCTATGACCTTATTCATGACTCATCTGTAACAGAACCGTCCACCGGGGGCCACTAAACACCAGTTCAAGTGCACATTCCACACCGTGGCAGAGCACCGCGTCCAGCGCTACTGCTGAAGCAGGCTTCGCGAGATCAGCATCCTCATCACTTCGTTGCTGCCTGGAGGAGGGAGGAGTAAGAATGAAGGAGTGAGTAGCAGCCAAGTGTGCCTGAGAACTCAGCAGCATCTGACCAGGGTGTGCACGCCTCGCTCAGGGTAGGCATGATGCAAACGACGATTGTTGCTTTTATCCCGGCAGGGGACCAAACTGCCACAGACTTCTCTTCAAAGTACAGAGAAAGGTCAGAAAGTGAGGAATAAATTTACTTTTACAAAGACCTCTCCTGCCCTGGCCGGTGGGGCTCAGTTGGTTGGGCATCATCCGGTGAACTGAAGGGGTGACTGGTTTGATTCCAGGTCAGGGACGTGCCCAGGCTGTGGGCTCTGTCCCCAGTAGGGGGCATGCAGGAGGCGGCTGAATAATGTTCTCTCTCCCTCTCCCTTCCTCTCCCTATAAAAATCAATAAACTATTCTTTAAATAAATAAACCTCTCCTGATGGTAAAGTGCTTATATCAGGTAAAAGAAGAAGAAATGGTGTATATATAGTATAATTCTATTTTTTTTTAATGTACCTAAAGAAACATAGAAAAAGACCAAAGGAGATATTTTTTGGACTTACACACGAAAGGAGTCCAAATTATTAATTCTGGATGTGGAAACATAAGTGATTTTTTTTTTACTTAGCCTATATTTTATAAATTTTCAACAATAAATACACAAATTTCTTTGGTAATCAGAATGCTCAATTTTAAAAGAACAAACATTTTCCCTGACAGGGGAGGGGTGTGTGTCTGTGTGTGTGTGTGTCAATGGCTTGCTTCATTTTTACAATGGCTTTTAATGCAAGGAGAAATAGGAACCTCTATGAGGGATGAGATCATACATCTCAAATAAAATCAAGTCTAAAATTCCTGATTTATCCAATAACAAAGTCCATGATAGACAAAGGGATAAAGATCAGTGCTGGGTTTTTCCACGAGTGGATGACGTACGGCCTGATACAAAAGTGCCTGGCTTTTCCCACTTACTCTGAGGGGGTAAAGGCTGGGTTAAATCGAGGTAAAGTTTCCTACACTCATAACGCTGGGTGAGAAAGTGACAGCAGGAGTAGAGGAGGAGACTGCAGTAGAGGAGAAGACTGACTCATGTGAGCACTAGAATTGAGCGCACAAACATACTAGTATTTTGGGGATGAGGTGTGCAAGTGTGGTTCTCAGGCAAGCAGCAGCAGCCCCACTTGGAAACTTGCTACAGGTGCAAACTCTCTGGCCACCCAAGACCCTGAGACAGAAACTCGGGTGGGGCCCAGCCACCTGTTCTCACAAGCCCTCCAGGTGACTCTCAGGCATGCTCAGGTCTGAGAAGGCGGCTTGGCAGGGCAGGAGAGCCCATGCTCAGAGGCCTCTGCTACGCCCATGAAAGCAGCCCCACATTCTTCCACTGAAAGTCACTTAGATAAGCCGCTGCCCGTCTGCTTTCCCAGCTGTGTAACAACCCCAGACACCTGCACCAGCTGGAGCCAGGGTGAAGGGATTTCAAGGCGTGTGCACTGGTGTGGAGAGTGAAGGCCAATAGCTTACAGTGTAAGCCTTATACAGTTCCCACCCGAACGTGTGATTACCAAGAAGATGCCCATATACTGATGACTATTTCACTGGAAAGTACAATAGCAATATTGACAGGAATGTCCTTTAGACCATCTGGCTGATCACCAGTTGGAAAGGCAGTGGGTGGTCACACTGGCTCCCATTTGACCTTTAAATCACTGTACAGAAGTCTAGGGATTCCTGAGGACCAAGTACTTACTTTACCACAGTCAAGAATAGTCGCTGCTAGAGTTTTCAACATGTTTTCTCATGTATCACCTCAGGTTAAGCCTTCTCTAAAATTTACAAAGAAAAAGACGAAAAGAGAAGCGATTCCCAGGCTGGGGCCCTCTGGGGGCAGCACAGGCCCTCCTGGAGCAGGGCAGGAGGCGGCAGGCAGGAAGATGCAGCCGACGGGGCCTGGCTGGTGATCCTGTGAGTGCCCTGGAGGGGGAGAACCGCCGCTAGGAGGTTTACCTTCCAGGATCTGATGAACCCTGCAGTCCCGCATGTACTGCTGGACGGCATAGTCCTTCAGGTAGCCGTAGCCTCCGTGCATCTGCAAGGCCTGGTTGCAGATCTGCAGGGGGACACAGATTAGGCATCTTTACTTCAGGAAGCCGGAACCAGTGGCTTCTCTCTCCACCCTCACCTGCAATCTGCTGCGAACTAATGTTACAAAGAACCACCTCCGGATAACCAGCCAAGCAGGAAAGGGGCTGCACGCTCTGTGGTCAGAGACAAGGGACGTCCACCTGCTGAGCGGATCAGTCCCCACCGGACAGGCAGAGCAGAGGCCCAGCTTCCTGGCTCGCAGGGAGGAGCCATCTGCAACCGCCACAGCTGGGATTCTACGAAGCTAAGGTGCCACCTAGTGGCAACAACACAGCCTCAGTGTGGAATGGCTTTGCCCCAGACACTGTAAACACAGCACATCGGAGCAGGAGGCACTGGGCTGCTCTGCACCTTCTTCCGAAGGCAGGTCTCATCTAGCACACAACCGAAGGGCAGTGACCGAGTAACCTGTGTGGCGCCCTGGAGCAGGTGAAAAGCCAGCTGGGGCACCCCTTGCAGGCCGTCCCGAGTTAACTTACATCCTTAAGCCCCAAGGCATCCCTGCAGCATCCCAGGAGCTGACCTAGCAGCTGCCCCTGGTTCACAGGAGAGCCAGAGCGCGCCATCACTTACAGCGAAACATTCGTCTGTAGCAAAGAGCTTGGCCATGGCGCACAGGGCCACCGCATCTTCCCGCTCCTCCTGCAGGGCCACCGCCGCGCTGCGGACCATCAGCCGTGAGGCCACCAGCCTTGTGGCCATATCAGCCAGCTTGAACTGCAGGTACTAGGGCAAGAGGGGAGACGAGAACCAGTCGAGCAGGCGGCTTCCAGCAGCACCTGATCCGGGGCCTCTGTGAGATCTCCAACGAGGCACCTTTCCTGAGTGACTCGCAGTCTCAAGCCTCCTGCCTCTTGCAGAGGAAATGTACTGCCTGGAGTCCAGTCCACTGCACTGGCCCTGCACGGACATTATTGCCTCCGGAAAAAACTACTGATAGACAGAGAGCACAGGCTCCGGCTAAGACCGGCCAGAATTCCACTCTCTGCCAGAGAACGTGGGCCACAGACCAGGTCTCGGGCTGGGACCGGGCCGTTACCTGGTTACTCGCCAGGAGCGCTCCAAACTGCTTCCGGACATTGAGGTGGTCTCGGGTGAGGACGACTGAAGCATGAGCAGCCCCAACAGAGCAAGAAGCTAGGAAGGAAAGTGCAGACACTTCGACTCAGCCAGGAGGACAGTGCTGCCCGCCCCAGCCCGCTGCCCTCCTGGCCCTCTCCCTTCGAGGTCTCACCAACATTGATCCTCCCTCCATTCAGGCCTTTCATGGCGATAAGGAAGCCTTGCCCCTCGTTCCCAATTCTGTTGGCCGCAGGGACAGCACAGTCTTCAAAGATGACGGCGCGGGTTGGCTGGGAGTTCCACCCCACCTGGCAACGAACAGTTGCTGGTGTAAAGCTCTTAGCTCAGCGGTTCTCAACCTGTGGGTCGTGACCCCTTTGGCGGTCAAACGACCCTTTCACAGGGGTCGCCTAAGACCATCCTGCATATCAGATATTTACATTCCGATTCATAACAGTAGCAACATTACAGTTATGAAGTAGCAAAGAAAATAATTTTATGGTTGGGTCACAACATGAGGAACTGTATTTAAAGGGCCAGAAGGTTGAGAACCACTGTCTTAGCTGCACAATGTTTTAAATATGCCAAGTCCAAGCACGTGCTGGCAGGACAGAGGGCCACGGAGCAGGGAGGGGCAAAGGCCAGCGGCTCGGGTCCCCAGAAGTCTATTTAGGGGCTATCTCATTACCTGACTTCTCCCCAAAGGTCCTACTAACCGTCACAGTACATATCGCAGGTACATGACTGTGCCAGTCATCTGGCCTAACAAATCTGAATGGGCCTCACCCTAATTACCAGCCACAGTTACGTAATTACAGCTACACTATTCACGGCTTGGCGATGAGCTTTCTTAATCCTCGCAATGTCTTCTCAAAGCACCATGGGAATACTCTCCCTGTGAGCATGGCTGAAATACCCACAGTCATCTCCAATGAGTTATGCTTCATTTTTACGTAAAGAAGAAAAGTGGCCCATCTACATCATTCCCGAGACTTCTAGTCAACTCCAGGTCTTCCATACGTATATATTCTTGGGATAACAGAAGCCGGGTAAGAAATACAGGCCACAATGGCAAGAGGAGAGATGACAGGGAAATCACTCACATTGAAGCAACAGGCAGCTGTGGACTGACGGGCAAACTGCCACTTTCACCAGTGGCCTAGAGTTTTGTTGACGGTGCCTTATTCTATTTTATATGTCCCCGTCAAAATCCTACTAGAAGCAACTGCCTCCAAGGCAAGCTGGAAAACATGAGACGCTACTTCATCAGACAGAGCGGAGCGTGCTCTGGCCGGGGCGTCTCATAGCTTGAATCGCTTCTTGTCAATAGGCACTTACCTTTTTTTCCTTCTTGCCAAAGCTGAGGCCAGGGGTCCCCTTCTCAACCACTATGCACGAGATGCCTTTGGGGCCTGGTCCTCCCGTTCGGCACATGACCACATAGATGTCCGACTCCCCTCCACCACTGATGAAGGCCTGTGGGGTGGCAGGGGGTGTGCACAGGTATCAAGGACAGCTGGGTTCTCAGAGCCCGCCATTCGGGAAAACACCTGGGGGCCTCCCGACCACAGGACACTAAGACAAGCATGTCAAACTCGTGGCTAGTGGGCTGCAGGCCTCGTTTAATGCGGCCCGCCGGCCGCGAGTTTGACATACTTGCGCTAAGAGGTACAATGGCACAGATATAAGAAGGGGCAAAAAAGAAACTGCACTGACTGGGAAAGCAGGGAGCCAGCTGATGAGACTATAAGAAGCATAGACAAAAATGAATGAAATGACCTGGAACCAGACCAGAAGAGACAGAAACAGGGAAGGCGAATAAAGGGAAGCGGGTCAGAGGCTCTCTTCCCAACATGTGAAAATCCTACGGGAATATCAACTGGCAGACAGCAAGGACCCAGGCGCTGTCAGCAAGAAGATGGGAACAATCTCAAGTGGTTCTGGGAGGAGAGCATGCTGGTACCTTGGAGCCATTGAGGACGTAATGATCTCCTTGCCTTTTAGCTGAGGTCAAAAGGGAGGCAGCATCGCTCCCACTTCCTAAGGCAGGGATCGGAGAGAAAGCAGAGGGTGGGGCGGAGAAAGTCAGTGAAGTGAAGGGAGCTCCAGCTTGTTCCCATCTCCTAGGAAACCTTCCCATTATAAACAAACTTAGAGTTTGGTCCTTTAAAATCCAGATGGCCGAAGGAACTCTCTGTGCTGGGTAAACACTGCATATACAATCAGACTGTGTCCATCTTCATCTCACTAGCTTACAGTGAGCCTCCTAGAACAGTGGTCGCCAACCTTTCAGACCTCACGGACCACCAGTGGACCTCGGACCACCGGTTGGCGACCGCCGTCCTAGAAGGAGCCTGGAGAAACTGTGCCCTCGAGGCTTCTTAGTCTGTAACATCAAGTCATGACAATCTGTTCCTCTTAGCAAGTACCGGGTTCTGTGTATCAATGGGCTAAGGCGGTGGTCGGCAAACTCATTAGTCAACAGAGCCAAATATCAACAGTACGACGATGGAAATTTCTTTTGAGAGCCAAATTTTTTAAACTTAAACTATATAGGTAGGTACATTGTTAGTAACTTAATTAGGGTACTCCTAAGGCTTAGGAAGAGCCACACTCAAGGGGCCAAAGAGCCGCATGTGGCTCGCGAGCCGCAGTTTGCCGACCAGGGGGAGTGCTCAGTGACCGTACTTGAGTGCCATCTCACCTGTAGACCGGCAAACCCACCTGGCTCAGTGAGGCAGTAGGAAGCAAACTTCTCCATGGTGCAGAGTGGTGGGCAAAACCGGTGCCTCTGTTCCTCGTTGCCAAAGGTATCGATCATCCAGACACACATGCTGACAGGCACAGCAAGAAGGGAAGACATTCACAGAGATAAAGATGGAAAAGGAAATGGGAGGGGGCAGGGGAGGAGGAAAGGGAACAAAGGCAGGAAGGGAGACAGAAGCAGAAGAGAGAGTGAGAAGGGAAAAGTCACAACTGAGGCAATTCGACTTTAAGGGAAAGGCCTGGATTAGGAACCTATTCCTGGAACTCGTCTCGCCCAGAGACAACCAAGGCTAAGTATTTCTCGCTTGGATGTTCACGCTGCTTCTAATTAGGCTAACGGAGCTCCCTAGAATTCACAGAGCTTCC